ATCATACCGCTCCAGTAAGGCTATAGGTAAAGGAGCGGCGGGGCAAGGCGGAGACGCCGGGAGCGGAACTTGAGCAGCTTGAGACGCGAGGAGTTGTTCCACTCACGACTCCAGGTTCCTCGCTGGATCCATTCTGCGGATGGCGAAGTATTCTGTCACACCGAGCGGGGAAAAGAGGTATGGATCCAGAAATGTGAGGAATCCAAGCTTTATTGAAGTTGACAACACACAGGTAAGGGCAAGCTGAAACAGGAGCGAGCTCCAGAAGGAGAGCGCAGCCCTCGGGGACACCGGAGCGGCTGTACCCGGTAAGTCAGCTTCTTTAAGGGTAGTCCTCAGGCAGACGGGTTTGGAATCGGCAAGCAGGGATCGTTGTCGTCATACGGGTGCGTGGGTCGTAATCCGGGAGGTCAGTCCAACGAAGAAGCACGGGACTGGATGACAAGAGGGAAGGAGGACAGGAGGCGCTGGGCTCAACGAGGTAGAAGGATCAGGAACGGGAACGGGACTGAGGAGGGAAGACACAGGAGGCAAGGGTTCAACCAAAGGCGAATAGGAAAGGTATGGGAGAGCGGGGAGACGGATGACAGAAAACTGCTCGGTATGGCGTCTTTTCATCAGCTCAATACTTCGCGATTAGTTGGAGTTTAGCTCTTCTTTTTTAAAGAAGAGCTAATCTTCAGGTGCCGGGTTGCATCTGCTGGACTCCGCCCCCGTGGGCGTGACACTCCCCATTTGTGTCTCAAATTTTACTGTATTTGACTCTCCCTGCCGGCCCCTGGAGGATGGGCTCCCCCTTTGAGTCTGGTCCCTCCCAAGGTTTCTTCCTTCTCTGGAGTTTTTCTTTGCCTATGGCTTATTCACTGGGGGCTTTGGGTGGGGATGCTGTATAGCGTTTGAGATGATGTAATGTTGTGATAATGCGCTATACAAAAATACATTTGTTTGTTGTTTGTTTGTCTGTCATCTGGAGCCAAGACACCAAATCAAAATCCCTCCAACAAAACCCTAAATACATGCCACCAAAATGTCTTGGTATGCTGAAGCATTAAGAGTTCCCTTCTTTGGAACTAAGGGGCCTAGCCCAACCCCTGAATTAAAACTCCATACCATTACCCATCCTCCACCAAACTCTACAGTTGGCACAATGCAGTCAAGCAGATAACATTCTCCTGGCATCTGCCAGACCCAGACTCATCCATCAGACTGCAAGACAGAGAAGTGTGATTTGTCACTCCACAGAACCTGTTTCCACCGCTCCACAGTCTAATGGTGGTGTGCTTTACACCACTCTATCTGACACTTGGCATTGCATTTCATGATGTGAGGGTGTATGCAGCTGCTTGTTAATGGAAGACCATTCCATGAAGCTCCTGCCGCACAGTTGTTATAGTGGGATTAAGGCAAGAGTTTGGAAATCTGCAGTTACTGAATCAACAGAGCATTGCTGACTTTTGGTCCTTGGCGACCCTGCACTGTTACTTCATGTGGTCTGCCATTTTGTGGCTGAGTTTCTGTTGTCCCTAAACGCTTCCACTTTGCATTAATATCACTTACAGTTGACCATGGAATATCTACGAAGGAAGACATTTCACAAACTCACATATTGCAAAGGTGGCATCCTATGACAGTACCATGCCTGAATTAACTGAACTCTTCAGAATGGCCCATTCTTTCACAAATGTTTGTAAACCTGAATGCATGGCTAGGTGCTTGAATTTATAGACCTTTGGCAATGGGTCTGAATGAAACACCAGAAACCAATGATTAGGAGGTGTGTCCTAATAATTTTTTCCATATTGTGTGTGTGTGTGTGTGTGGGTTTGCATAGATCACATTTCATTTAAAGTGTCCCCAAAGTGTGGTAAAACCTGAAACTTCCTTAACTTCGGGGACATTTTCAGGTCCCCATTTGGATAACCTCAATTTTATAAAACATCTGTGAATGCAATCAAAGAAGTTTGGTTACTTATGGTTAAAGGTGTCATGATTGGGATTAGGGTTTTCCCATAGAAATAAATGAAAGGTCCCCATTCATATAGGTATACCAACGTACACTCACTTTGACCCCCTTTCGCCTTCAGAACTGCCTTAATTCTACGTGGCATTGATTCAACAAGGTGCTGAAAGCATTCTTTAGAAATGTTG